CTTGTCCGCCCCGCGCGCGGCTTCGCTTGTCGCTCACGCGAAACCCCCACGAAGGAGCCTTAAGCGGCCCCCCGCCCCGTGAGCACTGGCGATTCCGGGCCGTTGTGAATGAGCTTCCCCGGCCGTCTAGGGGCGGTCGGGCCTTAGCCTGGGCGGGTCTTTTCCTAGCAGGAGCCCGTTCCGCTCGCGCAGGTTGGAGACGCGGGAGGTACCGTTCGCCGCGGCGCAGCACGGGGTGTGGCCCGCCGTGGGGGAGTGGAGGTCCCCTGGCTCCCCGGCTGGGTGTGCTTCGCACTGAAGCTGGTGGATGGAGCGGTGACTGGTGCCAAGGGGAGCCCCTGGGTCTTAAACTTCTCTCTAGACTGACGGCAGTTCAACAAACCCCAAACCCCACGCTACTGCCGTTGGACATAGACCCAGGAGACACTTCTGCCTTTAGTGACTTCTCTGCCTCACGAGGTAGCTTGAGTGAAACCGAAGAAAAGAGCTGAATCAAGTACGTGTGGCCGGCTTTCCTAGTGGTTAGAGCATCAGCCCGGGTCCCATTTGGTTGCAGCCTCGACTCCCCCGCCTGCGGGAGGTAACCAGTCCCTGTGTCTCTCTCACATCCCCCCACCCCACTCTCTCTGAAAAGCAATGGAAAAAATATATCCTCCAGTGAGGATCAAAAAATAAATATGACTTGTCCAGAGCCAGGCTAGGGACCAGGTTAGGGGTGAGCCCTTCCTTCCTTGCACCGAGCGCCTGCCTGTGGTGGCCACTCCCCAGGGTCGCGCAGAAATGGGTCGTTCCCCTGTTAGGGTTTCAGCCAGAGGAGGGAGAGTTCAGGAAAGAGGGCAGGAAAAGGGAGCTTGGGCAAGGTGGGTAAACAATGTGTCAAACGGAAGGAGTGAAGCAGGCAAGGAGCTGAGGATGAGCGGGGAGGGAGGGGGGTGTTGGTAAACTGATAGCGAGAGACTGAAACAAGATGCAGATGAGTGAAGGGCTGCCCCAGAAGGGCACATGCCCAGGTTGCAGGCTCCATCCCCAGTGGGGGGCGTGCAGGAGGCAGCCCATCAGTGAGGTTTCTCTCATGTTTCTCTCTCTCTACCCCTCTCCCTTCCTCTCTCTCTCAAAATCAATGAAAAGATTAAAGAAAAAAGAAAAGGCACACAGAGAGGCTTGTGTAGGTTTACAGGCTGCAGAGAAGGAGTTGTCAGAATGAGAAGGCAGGTGTGCAGGTTGAAGGGTAGGCCTGATGGAGCAGGGTCCCGGGGAACTTGGGCGGGTGGAATTATTCCGCAGAGCTGGAGGACAGCGCCGTGAGCGAGGCTGCAGGCAGCCTTAGGTTTGGGAGGGCCGCAGAGCAGCACCCTCCCTCATTCGCCTGCCTGAAGCAGGAGATGAAGACAGCTGTGACTGTCGCCACAGGACTGGAATAGGAGGCTTGAGGAGGTCCGCAACGGTCACAGAGGGAAACAGAAAGGGGAGCTGACTCAGACTGGCTGAGTGGTGTAGAAGCTCAGGAAGCTATAATTTTGCAGTGACCCTAACCACACGGTTGTGTGACTGTGTGGCTGCATGGCTTTCTCCAGGTGGGATTAGAGGTTTAGTCACTGGACCTAAGAGAGAGGGTTGGGGAATAGATTTGGGGTCAGGGTTTCGCTGGATGGGGCTATCAGAAGGATAAGGCAGTGTGTGTGGTGTGGGTGAGAAAAGGCTCCAGTTGCTGGAGCATTGAGTACAGGACCAAAAGGAAGGGGCAAGGGCGTGGAAGGTGGGTGGGCGCAGGGTCTCTGTGAAATCCAAGAACAAGTTAAGCAGAGAAGAAGAATGGAGAGAGCTGGGGATGTAAGACCTTATTGGTATAATGCAGTCTTTCCGTGAGTTTAATATTTTATAGATAGAGGCCTGATGAATGATAGCAAACTCCAAGCATGGCTCTGGACGTCAGACTGATTCCAGCTTAAGCAGAGTGGACGTGAAGGTGGCCAGGAAGCTATGAGGCGGGGGTCGGGGTCACCCACCTCAATGACGAGGAGAGGAGGAAGAGTGGAATTCAAGTACGAAAAGCGGGTTGTCCTGTCTGAAGTGAAACGGGTATGTGACACTGATAGCTTAGGGCCGAGGGTTCAAGTGTCATTGCCACTTTTCTTTATATACTTTATGCTCTAACCAAATGGAATCACTGATTATCACCAAAACATCTTCTCTACTTTCCTATCTCTTTGCCATTGCTCAAGCTTTCTGTGTTTGAAACACCGTTAATACAGTTCCTTCTGATGAAATTCTATGGCTTCTTCAATGAAGCTCCTCCTTCGTAAAGCTTTCCTGATCTCCACCACCATCCTTTACCCTCCTGTAATATTTTGTAAACATTTCTTTTTTTGGGGGGTGGGGGTTAATATTTTGCTATTTATGAAAGGTATGTTAATAGATGTTTCATCTTTTCTGACAGCATGTGAGTTCCTTGACATTATGGATCTGTCTTATTTACCTTTGTGTCATTGATAGCTATTTGCACACAGTAAGACCCAATGGATGTTTATGGGATTCAACAGATAGGATGATTTCAGAGTAGAGGTTGTGTCTGGTTACTTTTATATGATTTAACATTCATGACATTGTTAAATAAGCTTGTTCCAAGAATTGTTTGACCCTCTGTGTTATTTTTCTTTTTGGGGGGAGGATCTCAAGATATTTCTATTAAGAGTTTTAAATTATATTCATTAAGTTATTCAATAAGTATCTATTGAGTACCAGATACTGTGCTAGAGTTTGAGGATGCAAAGATAAAAAAGTCATGGTTCCTGTTTTTGAGGGGCCCCAGATCCAATTTGATCAATAAAACAGGAATGGGATCCTTCCAGAAACTGAGCCGTCCGCATCAGAAGGTGCTCACCCAGTCTTTAGGGGGAGGCTCTTTCCGTTTAAGTCCTGGGCTAGAAGGTTTACCTCCTGAAGATAAGAACCATAAGGGGAGATCCTTAGGTTTGTCTGATCACCTACACATCTTGCCCAGAGCACTGAGGCCACATCTGCAATGTTCAGGAATGACCCCACCGTCTCTGAATCCCCTGCAGCATAAAGGGGAATGCTGGGCAAGGAATCTAAAGGCCCAAGTTTGAGTTCCAGCCCTCTCTCTTATTAGATAAGCTATTTTCTAATTCCGAGCTTTAGTTTGCTCGTGTGTAAAATGGGGATAATAATTAAGGAGATAATAAATATAAAAGGGCTCTTTAAATGGTGAGGTGTTATACTAATGCTAATTACTACTTTCAGTATTGCTGTGCGGATTAAACAAAATGCGCTTTGTAAATTGTCCTCTGCGGATGTTGGGTGTCATTAGTTTTATCCCTCTAAGCCCTTTCCTCCTCTCACTTCCCGTTGCCTCTGTCCTAATTGCTGGCCCTCATTAATTCCCTTACTTTTAAGATGGCATCTTCGGAGCAGCCAGAGTCCCTGTGTTAGCAGATGGGCATTGACTGTCTGCTTTCCTCCACTGTCTGCCCACATGTAGTTATTTTTATATTCCTTTAGGCATCTTTCATGCTGAAGGCTGGAAACCATTAAAGTCCTCCTCAAAGTTGCTTTTAGGTCTTCAACTATTGCTTCAGAGTTGAGAAATTTTCTCTTTCCTAATGAGCCACAGGAAATTGTCACATGCACATTAAATTTCTACTCCAAAAAGGCCACACAGTATCAGATCCATGTCCAATCGGTCGTGATCTGAATGTGTCGACAAAATATTCGGAGTGGATCTGTATTGCTTAATCTTTGTCTAAAGATTCTTCGTCTTGGAGTTCGAGGTCCTTTATGGTATAATCCCCGCTGCTTTTTTCATGATTTCCCTGATTTTTCATCATTCACTGTTAACTCTGGTCAGTGGAACTTTTCACTGCTGCCTGTAAGCAGGGTTGATCTTTTAGCCAGTTCTCAGTGGAAAGGCCACCCTAGTTGTGAAGATATTGAAATTCTTCTCTATCAGTTGTTAAACCGCCTCTCTTCTTGCCTGAACCCTGAGCGCCAATCTATCTGAAGCTCCAGCCAGTCCTGTCCCTCTCCTGGGCCACAAAATTCCCACAACCAAGTAACTTAAGGGTTAATGCATGGTGTGGTGAGGGTCTCTAGGACATGCCCCTGATCAGGAATTGAACCTGAGACCCTTTGGTGGGAAGGCTGACCCTCTAACCACTGAATACACCGGCCAGGGCTCCACCCTCTTCTTAATGACTACATAGCATTCGGTATGTGATACTGTGTCTGTGTTATAGATACACGTTGCCAGGAGCACTAACAGTAGGCTTTTTATTGAAAGACAACTAGATAGTTTTCATTTTTGCCCCTAAGAAATATTTCAGAAATCCTGCACCTATACAGGCATATCCGAGGAGAAAGTCTTGGAAGTAGAATCAATGGTTTCCAGAATACGAGCATTTACAACTTTGACAGGTGTTGCAAAATTATCCCTCGAGCGTAATAGTTTTTTTAATTAAAAATTTTTCAGTGACAGTTGGCATTCGATATTATATTAGTTTAAGGTGGACAGCCTAATGGTTAGACACACATAACTTAC